AGGGTCTCGCCAGCATCTTACGAAGCAGCAGTACTTCTTCCACCAGGACTTGGAGAGGGTTCTCATTTTGTCCGGAGTCCTGCTCTTGGGTTTCTTTGGCTGCTGCTGCGTGTCCGAGTACTGGAGTACTGGATGGCGGCCACGATGGCCGCGTCACAGACCTCTTTGAGGTCCTTCTGAGTCAAGGCCGAGCACTCGATGTAGGAGGCGGCCTTGATCTCCTCGGCGCACAGCTTGGCCGCCTCCTCGGGCACCGGCTTCTCCTTGCAATTGTCCAGCTCGATGGGGACTTGGACGTCTTCCCGGAGGTCCGACTGCGTGCCCACGAGGATGATGGGGGCTTTGGGGCAGTGGCGCCGGATCTCGGGCACCCACTTCTCGGTGACGTTCTGGAAGGAGGAAGGGCTGACCACGCGGAAGCACAGCAGGAAGATGTCCGCGTTGGTGTAGCACAGAGGCCGCAGCCTGTCGAACTCGTCCTGTCCGGCTGTCACAGAGCTGGAGTCTCACGGGCTGCCCATCCACAGACACCACAGCCGAGAAGTTGTCGAAGGCGGTGGGGATGCACTCGGTGGGGTACCCGTTGGTCATGTAGCTCACCACCAGGCTGGTCTTGCCCACCGCGCCTTCGCCGACCAGCACGCACTTGATGCCGCGGCCCTCGGCGCTGCCCGCGCACCCCCCCCCCCCCCCAGCTCCTGGGGGGGAGGCACTGGCGGCGCCTCACAGAGGCCGGGGGAACTTGGGGTCCCCCTGCTGCGGGGGCATCGGTCCTAGCTCCTGGAGGTGCAGGCGCGGGCGAGCAGGGCCGGGCGCAACCGCCCCTCCCTCCTCTGGGAGCAGAGCCGCAGGCATGTCCCCTGCCCCAAGAGCCCGAGGTTCCAGGCCGCGTGGCGCCCAGACAAAGGGAGCCCGGGGGTGGGGGGGCTGGGGGGGGTCCGGCTCTGCGCTCTGGGGGCGCCGCCGGCTCTGCCCATGCGATCAGAGGACTGCGGACCGCGCACGGTGGGGCCGGGCCTAAGTGTTTTTTTTAACTTGGAAACTGGGTTGATAAAATTAAACAAGTTTCTTTCCTGCAGGACTTTTAAAAGCTTCAAAACAACAACAATGCTCTTAATGTTCACTGTGAGTCCCCAAGGGAAAATGTACTTCCAGAACTTAATTAACCATGTGATGTAGAAACAAATCCTACCACCATCATTTTTGGGGTTTTTTTGAGGGGTAGGTTGAGGAGACTATCCCCTTATCAGAAAGAAATATTTTAGACCAGAGTCTAATGGTAGATAAAAATCCAAGGAGACACAACTGCTTGGAGTTGGCTACTAGACTTTAGTAAGAATTCTCACAACACGGAAAGGAAAAATAGGGACACTGGTGCTCCTTGTTTTTTTTTTTTTCCTCTTTCCAACACTGACACATGCACACACAGGAGCACTGTAGGCACTTCATAGTAGCAGTGCCTCTATGTATTACTTTTTCTCATTCACTCAACTTGCAATGCCACAAGGAATTATTCAACCTGCATATTCAGCTAAATGCTGAATAAAATTTACCCATGACCTTCAGGGTGAATAAAATATCCCGTGACCTTCAGGATGTCTCCATATAATAACTTTCCTTCTCATCTTATTAAAGTTACTGTGCTGGCCAGTGACTGACATGCTCATATCTCTTCCTTATCAGAACACTCCCCAAAGTCACTTCCGACAGAAATAGTCCAAGGTGGACAAATTCTGGACCACATCACCCTGCCACCCTCTCCCTTACCAAAGGCAAATCTGACTCAATCCGAGATGGTATGGAGACTGAGGTGACCTGGCATGAAAAGGTTTGCCCAAGCAGAACCAAATGGGGACTAGAGTCACCCCATTAAGAATCTCACTAGAAATAGATCGAGACATAAAAGCATGCAACAGACTATAGAACCTGAGAAGGAAGGCAGAGATCACAACCTGATATTTTATGTATATATTTTTTTAAATTTATCTGACTTCTCTTACTAGAATGTAAGCTGTGGAAAATAATTTCTTTTGTTCTCCTTTATGGGATATCACTCTGCTATGTAAAAACAAACCACATAATTCACTGAGCTATTCCAACTGTACATATTGCCAAGAAAATTAACTCTTAATAGAATAATAGCAAATAAATGTTTTCTTAATTTATCATACAGTAATAACTTGAAATAAATATAATGTGGATGGCATTTGAATTACTACAGGTGTTGTCCCTAATGGACAGGGCAGATAAGTCCCAAATTTCTCTTCTTCAGAACTATGAGGTCATCAGAAAAAGAGACTTTTCAATGCAATATATATTCTTACGTTATTACACTTCACAAAATAAATGCACTGGTTTATAAAACATAGAGACTTTCAGGTGATTTTGTTACTCAGTGAAAATTCAAGCTCAAGAGGTATTCTAGTATCATTAAAATTAATCTGAGTTTTATGGCTATGTTCTCTACAACAATAATGAAATAGTTTTGTTTATTAAACTGGTAGGTGAGTTCACAGCTGACTTAACATTCTTCATACTTTTTGCTAAAAGATTCCATTGCGGTGGTTTTTTAACTGAAGTTAGGTAAATTTTAATGAAAGAAATAATGTTAAAATATTTAGTATGTGACAATAAAAGGAGGGTATTTTGAAAGATTTTCCTTATTGTGAGGCAGTATAAAAAAGTGCTGAAGGGCCCAGGCTCTGGAGACACACTGAGTTGCAATCTTAGCTCTGATGCTTACTAGCCAAGCAACATTGCAATGGAGAAAATTAACTAACCTTTCTGAACCTCAATTTTCTCATTTATAAAATGAGAACAATACTAATACTAATAATAAAGATAACCTCGTTGGATGTGTATATTTAAGTTCTTAGAACATTTCCTAGGGGATAGTAAATGCTATATACTGTTCATTGTTATTATTTTTAAAATGTTTTTAAGGATGTCTATAGAATATCCAGGAAGGCATTTGAAGACAGAGTTTTAATTTTAAGAGAGGTTTGAACTGGAAATATAAATTTAGGCATTAGAGGGAGGAATGGACAAATGGACACATACATACATACACACACACACACACACACACACACACACACACACACTCTTAAAATAGTGCCTAGCATATAAGTACTATATAAATGTTAAAACGCTAATTGTTTTGATATTATCCAATTATTTTAATAATGACTTTATATGTCACTTAAATTTAAGCTTATTAAAATGAAAGCATATAGTAGGTGCTCACTAAAGGTTTAATGAATATAAACAATTTTTGGTGGTTACCTTTTTTGATTCATCTTAATAAAATGTAGACTGAAATTTTTAAAAAATACAAAATTTATATTTCTCAGATTATACTCAAAATCTAAATTTAACAGGTAATAAACAACTACTAAACACTTTTGACAACACTAACATCAGCTTTGACTTGAAAACATTTTCAAATTCAGTTAATTTAGAATAAAAAACAAATGCATATATTTATATGCCTATGAGCCACAGAAAAACAACCCCAATAGACTATAATCACCAATTAAGATCTTCAGATTCCTTAGGCTTAAATGTTCCTGCCCCAAAATAGTTGGTAGTATTTCCCCAGCATTTGTATCTTATCCTCAACAGTTTGGCTCACATACAGCACAGGACTGGAGAGGAAGGGAAGCATAGACCAAGTTATTCACCATCTAAACAAAACTGAAAAAAAAGTGTACATTCTTGTATCCCTAGTATGCACCACATGTGCCTGTATAAGATAATCTAGCAATTACATTCTGCCTAAAAATGTTTCTTGATTTCAGCTCATATTATAGTTAGCTCTACTTATTATTTCTCCACTGTAGTCCCTTACCTACAGCAGAATCTCACTAAGGTACATGCTTCCATTCAAAAGAATAAGTGGGGGGAGGTCTGGGATAATGAACAAACCTCAGTAAGATCCTCAGGAACACAGATGGACAGTTCCCCTCAGAGGATGGGGAGGCAGAGGGGGTGATCCTGGGCCTTAAATTCAGGTGTACATACCTCAACTTAAGTTCCCAGGACAAAGGCTAGCCCCAAAAAGCCTTTGTCATATGCCGTTTCCCTAGTTCCAGAGAAATATTTCTAAAGTAAGGGAAAAAGTGGCTACCTATCCAGTGGCCAGTTGAATAAACTTGGATCATTTTGAGAGTGACTATACAGTCATAAAAATACCAGATTTTAATCTCCAGGTTCCAGCATTTTTATAAGCAGTATCACAAAAGAACATTGTCTCCTAGAATATTTCTGCACTCAGATTCTGAGGGAGAAATATGCCCCTCATTGCCTCTCTCCCAGTATGATTTTCCCCAACACAGGCAACCTTTATCAACAGAGTATAAAAGCAAGTTTATAGTATGTTAACCATTGGTGGTTTTTTCTAGAGTGCCATTTCTGATTTCTCTGCTTTTGAGGGGAAAAAAGATGAAGTTTATGCCTCAAAATGCTTAAGTAAGAATTGGTGATGCTTTTGTAAAGGCCAACAATGAGCGGCCATATTCAGATAGTTTTCCTGAAAGTATGCATTACTGACAATGGTGCATTTAAGATATTTTCTGTTTTTGCACCTTCTTTTTGTAATCCAATTAAGACAAATGATGCTTTCTTCTTCTACCTGTCAGAATAACTATATATACTTTTAATTTTTTTCTAATTTAATAAAATTAGTAACTTGGAAGATACCATCTTTAGTGTGTAATTGAAGGTTTGCTTCATTCTGTTTTTTTAAAAGTCCCACACAGTTATATAACCTATACTAAAATGTATTATTAAAACAAGTTATAACATATGTTATTGGTATTATACAGAGAAAAGAAAAATTATTCTGGATAAGTAAAATTATTATTCCTCAAAGACAAAGCAAAACGTTTTTTCAAGTGTATTTAGAAAAAAAATCACACAATAAATATTTTACAAAAGTATTTTAATAAAACATTCAAACAAAATTTTGGTTAAACTTACTAAGCTTAATATTCCTAGAATTACATATTCTTTGTTTGCCTAACCTAACCTATAAGAATAAAACATTGTTATATATAAAACTGAGCAGTTAAGTCTAAAATAATAGTTTAGAACATCAAACATCCATGTACCATAAAACTACAACATACTGTAATTTAATCCAAATTTCACTACATCTTATTTGAAACATCCATTAAACAGTCACTTAAAAAAACAGCATTCAAAGATGACCCTGCAGTTTAAACAGAAAATAAACCTATGGTTATAAAAGTAAATCATTCAACAAACACTTGAATTGAGCATTTCAGTTCACTAACTGCTCTCTTTAGCACATTTGAATTAATCAACTACTACATTTAGTAAGAGATAACAATGACTATAATAAGCTAAGTGCAAACGAAAAATAAGTAACTGTAAAAACAACATTTTTTTTTTGTCTCTTAGCTGGCTCCGTGACTACATCTATTTTCTCCAAATACCTAGACATTTCAAAAAGAAGCTCCCACACAACAAAATAACAATTTTCAACTTTTTCTGTACCTCTTCGCCCCCAAATTTACCCGATTGTTTTCACTTGCTTGCTGGTAAAGCCTACAAAAGTCCAATCAATTTATCCATCTCGATCTCCCTCTGAGCTTCAAATATAGTTAGAAAAACAGAAAAGTTCAAAGCTGTTGGAAAAGCAGTGAGGTTCCAAAGGGATGCCAGTTAAGAGTTTTGTTGAAAAATAAAACTACTTCCTAAAAGTCAACAGGTCAAACTCAGTCACAGCCGGAGCGCGGTCTTCAGAAACTGAAAGTTCTTCTCGCCGCCTTAATCAGCAGACTTAAAATGCTGGCCATCCACAGTGGGGAAGATGTGGCCCTCGACCATCAGATATTCGAGGGCATCCTTGATGGCCTTGATGCTCAGGCTGCCAAGGTCGGCCTGGAGCTCTCCGACGCTCTTGCCTTCCTGGTGAGGACACTCGCGAATCAAACGCAGAACCTCCGCCTGAATAACCTGCGGGCGGACCTCGCGGGGCTCGGGAGCCTGCGGGCGCCTCAGGGGGAGCGGAGGGCGCGCTCTGCCCGTAGGCCTCTTCCTGGGCTTTCGAAAGCATCATGTGCGAGTTGACCGTTTCTAGAATGTGTGCGGTGAACTCGTTCATATCTTCCAGGACGCGGATCTGCAACACCTCGAGGAGCCTCACCTCCGCAGAACCTCTGAGGATACCTAACACTTTAGCGTACACTCCCACGGGACAGGGAGCCAGCTCCTGCTTTGCTTTGCTTCTGCCCAGCCAGTGGCGGGCGTCGATAGGCTTGGTGGTCATATCATCAATCTTGTAGAGAATGTAGTTTGGCGCTCTCTCCGCCTTCCTGATGATCCCCACGATAGAGACCTGGGAAACCACTATGCCCCTGACCTTGAAAACATCATCGACCAGAGAAGCAGTGAGCAGCTGGTTCACACAACACGGGATAATGGGCTCGATTCGAGCCCTGGACCTTGGCGCCTTCAGAAAAGGAGCCGTGCCACCCTGCGAGGGCCCGTCATTGCTGCCACTGGCCCCACTCGCGGCAAAGAAGCCGCCATGGCTCCCACATTCACTCTTACTCATCGTAACCACAGCACACACGGCACAGGCGGATGGGTCAGCGGCACTTGCCTCGAGTCAGCGAGGTCGGAGGGACTGGTCAGCGAGTTCCTCAAACGAGCACCAGTCTCCACAGAGAGCTGCCGCCGAATGCGTGGCTTACGACACGGCACGCGAGGATGTAGCCCCACGTCGCCCACGGAGCCAATCAGCGGGCAGATAGTAGAGCAGCGCTGCCTCCAGCCAGTCGGGACCTGCCAGCTGTGTGCGTGATCCCGTCATTCCTCACAGTGGCCTGGTGCTTGCTGGGCTATATTTTTAAAAGGCCCGCGTATAATTTTAGGCCTTTGCTGCCTTCTCATAAAAAAGGCATTTTTGCTACCTTCCCCCGACCCCTTCATGCCTAAATTTCACAACTTCTTCCACAGTCACTTCTTAAAGAGTCACTTATTCACTCACTCAATCAGCCATTCAAAGGAAATTTCAAAACGCACACGTGCACTATGGCGGAGTGCTGGACATTACGCGAGGAGACGAGGACTCGGTGAGGCGGCATGGAGGGGGGAACGAGGGGCGGGGGACGGGGAGCGGGCAGCGGGTGGGAGGGGGGTGTCAAGGGGGTAAGCCACCACCATAATGACTTCACCTACGCAGAACATCTGAAAGAACTCAATCCTTTGTTCAAATCATTAAAACTGGAAGCATACTTCTTCTATAGTCACTTCTTAAAGAATCATTTATTCAGTCAGTCAGTTAACCATTTAAAGGAAATTTCGGAACACACACATGCACTATGGCAGAGCGCTGTAGTCACCTGAGGAAGGAGGCAGGACACGGACCTGGGGGGAGGGGCCGAGGGGCGGCTCGGGCACCGTGGATGGTGGGGGCAGGGCTGACGCGGGTTGTGGGGGATCACCACGACGGTTAGTTACTGTTCTCAAAAACTCACATCCTGTTGAAATCATTAAAACCAGAAGCATTCTGGTAGAAATAGCAAGATAGCCACTTTGAATGATTATATTGAAATGTAAGTTACATCGTACCGTTTTTCTTTTTAAATTTTTATTGTAGAATCGTATTTTCCAGTTTTTCTGCCAAATGCCTTATAGATTAAAATAAATATAGATTACAACACAGGCTCACGTATGCCCACGCTGTTCAAAGCTGCACTGTATAAGGGTCAACTGGCCCTGGGAATCCAGCGATGCAGAGGGCGAACTTAGGTTATAAGCCGATTTTCGATTGGCGGTGGGCACTCCTACCTCCCATGTTGTCGAAGGGTCAAATGTAGTATGATACACTTCCATTTATACATAAATCCAAACAGAATGACTACGCTCTAAATCAGGGGTCCTCAAACTTTTTAAACAGGGGGCCAGTTCACTGTCCCTCAGACCGTTGGAGGGCCGGACTATAGATTAAAAAAATAACTATGAACAAATTCCTATGCACACTGCACATATCTTATTTTGAAGTAAAAAAACAAAACGGGAACAAATACAATATTTGTATTTGCATGTGGCCCGCGGGCCATAGTTTGAGGACCCCTGCTCTAAATTATTTTCAAGGCTCCATGGCTAGGTCAGAGAAGTAAAAAGATCTTAACCCATTATATATTAAGAAAAATATGAATAAAATAAAAATACAATTTCTATATAGTCTTATGCATTAATTTCTGAACTTAAGAGTCCAGCAATTGTGTAAGTAGATCCCAAAATATTTCCATATTACACTGAAAATCTAGTTTCCTTATAGAAACATATTAATTTTGATGTAATTAAAGGCTTTTTATGGTTAATATAGGAATATCAGTTACTGGAATATACCATTAGCAAGAAACTTGTTTAAAAATCCTCTAACAATTTTGAAGAGTTTATTAATACTTTATCACTTATTTCTTTTATTGGTTTAAATAATTGTATTTTTCCTATCCCAAATTACAGAAATGTGTAAGTAGTATATTTAAAACTTGTAGAATGTAAAATTATATATACTTCTCAAGTTAAAAAAGGAATAATATCATAGAGCCAATATACTGAATTTGGTTTACAAATAAATATATAGTAATCATTATCTAATTACAAAGTTAACTTCTGGATCCATGTTTGTATAATCAAAGAGGAATCAAACACCCAAGTATATTTGTATTCTTAAAACTGCAAATTATTAGTAATCATATTAATAACATTATTTAAATGCTTATAACCTCATAATCAGATACTGCAGTTTTATTAGCTAACATTAGATTTCTAGTCAGAAAATCATGAGGTTCAAATGAGTGACTGATTATATTCCCAACAATTATATACAGTACAGCTTATATAAATAGTATCAAAACAAATAAGAACCACCTACCTGACAGGATTGCTGGTTAAAGAAACCCTCAGAGATTCTAGGCAGTTAAGAAGTTTCTCATCTGAAATACCAGATCGTAATTCATGAACATATTCTTGTGAAGACAGAGTGCATTCATGTTTGCTGTTTTTCAGCCCTCCCTATGGGGGAAAAAAGATACCATTTAAGAAAAAAAAACAACAGTTTTTTTGTAAAAGTTTTCAAATAAAATAATGCATAGAATATGTTTAGATTTTTCTGTATAAAAATGTGTGGCAGAGTGCTAGCACTTAAAAATTCATGGTCATAGAATTGATGTGGTAAAATCATGTTGTGTATATCTCAACACTCTCCTCGGCCTCATTTAAAAGAAAATGACACTGCTGGTGATCATGACCTGAATAGAATATGGACTTGAGTTGCATAAAGCATCACCGGCAGGAATCCTTACATTTACAACCCAGGCATTAGGATTAATATTACAGTAGTTGATCCTTAACCCACAGGATGAACATTTAGCAATCATCTTATTAATTTTCCTTACTAAGATATTTATATTCTACTAGAGGCCTGGGGCACAAATTCATGCATAGGTGGGGTCCCTCAGCTTGGCCAGCGATCAGGGCCAATAGGGCCACGGGAGGTTGGCTGGGGTAAGGGGCCATGGGAGGTTGGTTGTGGGAGTGCACTGGCCACCAGGGGGCAGCTCCTGTGTTGAGCATCTGCCCCTGGTGGTCAGTGCGCATCATAGTGACTGGTTGACCAGTAGTTCTGTCATTTGATCGCTTAGGCTTTTATATAGATTCCGCAAAATACAGTGCATGAAATTTAATATAAGACATTATACATTACCCACGTTTATTGAAATATCAGTATCAGCTTATCTCAACAAACATTACTTTGATTAAAATGTAAAACAACAGTTTCCAATGAGCACAGTAGTTAATCAAATTGGTCAAAAATATTCAGTTCCCAACTATTTCTTTCTAACTTTGTTACTCTGTTATAGATGAATCTTAAAAAGTCATTAAATGCATTTATCTGATCATGACTAGTTTTTAGCTTAATTTCCAATATACATGGTGTTATTTTATTTCTAGAACTCATTATCATTTCATTGCTCTTTAGCTTCACCACTTTGCCATAACTATTATATAAGTAGTTTGGGGAAAGGCTGGGAGGAAAACATCATCAACACACTCACTGTAACAATAACTAATAGTTTTACTTTCTAGACAAACATGGCCATAACTGCCCTTTTCCTAGATTACAAGCATATCCCTCTGAATAAAAACTCTAGCTTGATTCCCATTTTCTAAGTTCATACAAATTACACTCAGTTTATGCTAAATATCTAAGCTATAATAAGGAAAGAAAAATGTTTCCCACTTGGTAAAAGTCATATCATTAGAGAATTTTTAAAAATTAATAATGAGAAATGGATTCCCTAGGGTTTCATACTATTGGCTTTTTATTGAGAATACCTTCTTAATATAGAAATTGTCAATCATGCCTAATGTCTTAATGTTTTAAAATTCCAGTAAACATTTAAAGTCTGACAAAGTTTTATATATGGAAACTCCATTTCCTTATAGCACTGTGCTGCCATCACTCCTATAGCACTTAAGACATTGGGGCAGAGGTCATTATTTGTGTCTGTCTCTCTAGACTGGGAAGTCCATGTATGCCAAGTACCTAACAGTGACTGAATTTGGTGAGCCTCAACAAAAGTATGCTGTTATTGAATCTTTCCATAACAATTACAGAACAAGGAATACAATTTCCTACTTTAGTGCCCATATTTTATGTGTTGGCCACTGACCTGATTTTTCTTGCTTTTTTAGGATATACAGATGTTCAAAAAGTCTATTAAATAAATCAATATATATATATAGCACAATAAGTAAAACCATCATTGTGAAATCATTTCCACATTTCTATAACTTATTTATCCAGCTCTTAAGGCTACAAATCCACAGGGAATTCCGCAACTAAACATTTATAGCATAAAATTGTGCAAGTTTACTTCCATACACCACTTTCATATGATCCTCACACTTTCTTTCTTAATTAATGGATAACAGGCTCTACTGATCCCCTGGAGACTTTTATATAAAGCTATGCCTGCAGAATGACCTTAGAATTTACTGGGGTTTTTTGGCCTGGGAGACTCTGACCCCTGACCTCTCCATTGCTGGCTCTCATCATTCAATTTTCAGCCCAACAGTCTTCTCCCCTCCACACACCAATTATCATCACAACACCATTGCAAACCTCATTTATAGTGTTAATTTTATATAAGTCAATCTTGTTTAGCACTTTCTTTGTTTACTGTGTCTTCCTCATTAAAACATAAGCTCTATGAGGCAGGAATCTTGCCTACCTTTTCACCACCTTATCTCCAGACCATAACACTGCTTGGCATATAGTAATTACTCAATATATAGATCTTGAATGATGATGGATGGATGGATGGATGGATGGATGGATGGATGGAAAATAAACAAATGGGTGAATGACTGATGAGTTTCAACATGCAGAAGCTCCCAAATTTCACTTCAGAATATTACATGAGACATTCCAGTACAACATATTGAGAGATGCTAGTATAGAACAGATAAATGGAGACAGCATATGATGGCATGCTGGGGACCACTCAAACTGCTTCTGGGTTTGAATAATCGCCCCCTCACTTACCTTCCAGCTAATCTTTGAGCAGGCTATTGAACTAATCTCTAGAAACCTGTTTGCTCATCTATGGTATAGGGGTAATAAACACCTAGCCCCCTCACATTTGTTATGATGATTAAGTAAGACAATGAATATGAAGTGCCTAAAACAGGCATTTCATATGTGTTGTCTTACAGAGTAAGCTGCTCAGAAAATGACAGCTCCCTGCTTCCATATGGTCGAGGCTGAGATACTATTTATGGAGCAATTCGGCCAGCCCATCACATTGGGACTCACCCTTCCCCCAAGTCTTAGAAACAAGTTTAAATTATGCAATTTAGGATAATCTACGGTTATAAGGAGTGGAAGCAATCAATCTAATGGAGCAAGAAAAAAATTATATAGCCTTTTAGAACAAATGCCTTTTTAAAAAATATTTTTATTAATTTCAGAGAAGAAGGGAGAGGGAGAGAGAAATAGAAATATCAATGATGAGAGAGAATCATTGATTGGCTGCCTCCTGCACACCCCCTACTGGGGATAGAGTCCACAACCCAGGAATGTGCCCTTGACTGGAATCAAACCTGGGACCATTCAATCCTCAGACTGACGCTCTATCCACTGAGCCAAACTGGCTAGGGCAGAACAAATGCCTTTTATCGAGTTTAGGAGGACTTAGGGGTTTTAACATAAAATCATACTTGATAATTATGGAAACATATGAAGGCTGACTGGCCCTTAAACATCAGCTATTCTAATACCCTCATTATAGAAATAGAGAATCACGGTGATTGCCCAAGTTCACATAATTAGTAAGGTTACAAGAATGAAACAGTAATATCCTGGTCCTCGGGTTACTTCTTTTTCTACTATATGTCACTTTTTCCCACAATTGAAAAAAATTAAAGCAACAAGTATTTAATTCTGAAATATCTATTACAAGATGTCAAAGAATCTTCAGCATATCAATATGGTGTAACATAATATGAAAAATCATCTAAAAAACAGTTCAATAGATTAAACTAATTCTCACTATATTTAATAGTGCTGTAATGCAAGAATGGCTTATTAGTAACACCCTGCTCTGATACCGAACAAAGGAAACAACTAGATAATGGATGGATAATAATGGAAATTTTAATTAGCTGCTCTGTATGAGATTAATGAAAATTACCACTGTGCCCATTTGATCTTTAAAAAATAATGCAGACAAAGTTAGCAATTAGCATACATCATGCTATTCCAAAGCTAGGTGAACAAGAAGCTTTCCTAATTTGAAGCCATTCCTTAATTTGAAAATCATTAGAATGGGACACACTTGTCAGTGTCACTGTGCTTATATTATTCTAAGACATTACATAGAGAACCAAAAAG